AAAGGGTAAATGTTCTCCTAAATATTGACCAACTTAATAACCTTTCATCTACAGAAATAAATAAATCCACTTTCTAGGTGACCTTCTAAATCCAGAACGTCATGACGACCTGTTTTCCATCAGCCACCATACCTGCTCTCCTGGATAAACTTCCTTGTATGCTGTGCTCCATCACAGCTTCAGTTAAAAGAGTGATCATTCATGTGATCAAACGATGTCACACGCCGGGAGTCTGTCATCACTCAACAGCATTTTAACTATCTCTTTGACATTGTGAAGAGCAGTGGAATGTCTGTTTTCATCTCTGGCCCGATCCCCACAGTTTCTCATGGATATGGACATTTTAGCCATCTGCTCTCTCTCCACTCCTGGCTTCAGTCTGCTTGCAGGTCCCACAGTTTTGGTTTTATCGATAATTTTAACCTGTTTTGGAACCGTTTCTCCTTTTTCAGGTGAGATGGTATTCACCCTAACCTACATGGCTCAAGCATGCTAACCGCTAACATCCGGTATGCTGTGCAGTCCCATAGATATACATCTATGGTGGATTACCTTCCACAGACATGACAGTTTACATCCTAGAGATCTTCACTTTCTCAGCCTTTGCTCAAACCTCCACTTCAAATAACATCATTCCCTACAGTCCTCCCACTACCTGTCGGTAACAAGATGGTGCCTGTGCTCGGCTTAGCCGTGGTCACCGGCCAATTTTTCAAACTTTTCTCCACTAACCTCCTCTTTTCCACCTTGCTCCTGTCTGCGATCCTCTTCAGTAGTGTCCCTGCTACCATCTCCTATGATCACCACACTCCTTTGTCATTCCGTTCGTTCACAATCGCCCAAGGTGCACCAAGGATGTACCTTCCTGTTTGATTACCTGAATGGCGTGCTGACCCGGAGCCAAATGATTCCTACCAGGACGCCTCAAGCAATGTTTATCCGGTCCAGGGAAAACGTCGGAGGAAAAGAGGTAAACGAGCAGGAATCCAGGTGAGAATAAGACATCTCTTAAAGTGTGGTTTATCTAGTAAACATCGGCGTGATCTTCTAGCTTCTTGTCCTTTGTTTGGAGACTTGAGCGCCACTTCCGCATTCCCGCCAGGCGTTTCTCCGTCCAAGTTTTTTAAGGTCAGTTTATCCTCATTCCTCAGTGGTTTCTCCTCCTGTTCCCTCCATAAGTGGTTTTTATAAACACCATGGATCTAACCCTACCAGTTTATGTCCACTAACTCCAGCTGTTTCTGTAGTTTCTGATTCCTCCACCTCACTCAGCATGGCTCTATTAAATACCCACTCTGTTAACAATAAGTCCTTCCTGCTCAATGATCTAATTCTCTCTAAAAACCTGGATTTTCTGTTTCTGACTGAAGTTTGGCAGCAAACATCTGATTATTCTGGTCTGATTGCACTCTGCCCGAGTGGTTATTCTTTTCTAAGCCAGCCCCGGGGTTCTGGTCGTGGTGAAGGCCTAGCTGTTGTTTTCAGACACCGTCTTCCATGTAGCTCTACAACCTCTGGTCGAGTTGCTTCCTTTGAACTGCGGCTGATTAAAGTCGGGCGTAAAAACCAGTTCTACTGTGCTGTGGTCTATTGTCCACCTGGTCCAAACAGTTCTTTCCTTCAGGAGTTTAGTGACTCTATCCTCCACTGTGAAGCTGTCCAGACTGGTGATTGTTGGTGACTTCAACATCCATGTTGATAATCCCTCAGACCACTTTGCCATGAATTTCTCCATCCTTATGGACTCCTTTTAGCTTTACCCAGCATGTTTCTGGCCCCACACACACCAGAGGGCACACTCTGGACTTTGTTTTTACCCTGAGTCTAAATGCTGACAGTGTTTGTCCTGAGGACGTTTATATTTCAGATCACCATTGCATTTTCTTTAACTTGTCAGTTTCTGCGTCCCCACCTCCTGCTCGCCGTCTGGTTAGTTCTCGTTTTCTTAATGAGAGCACAGCTAGCAATTTTTTCTGCTGCTTTTGATCCTCCCTGTTCTTCTTATAACAACCCAGATTCCTTAACTTCTCAGTTTAACGAGCACTGCCTTTCCATTCTGGACAACATCTGTCCTGTCAGAACCAGGTCAGCTCTTGCAGTGAACCTTGCTCCCTGGTTTAATGACAGCCTTCGCAGCCTGAAGCACCAATGCAGAAAAATTGAGTGCTTGTGGAGGAAAACCCATCTCCACGTCCATCTGCTGCATCTAAAGGATCTTCTGACATCCTTTAACTCTGCAGTCAGAGACGCGAGGGTTTCCTGTTTTTCCAACCTGGTGTCCCAGAGCAAAGGGAACCCCAAGGTGCTGTTTAACACCATCAGCAGCATTGTCTCTCCTGCCTCTCCTACAGCCTCCATCCACTCTGTTAGACTGTGACAACTTTCTGTCTTTCTTTGTGGACAAAGTCAACAGGGTTAGATCTAGCATCTCTCCTTCAGCCTTATCGCTGCCTCTCCCGACTCCAACCAGGCCCATCATCCTAGATAGCTTTACTCCTGTTTCTTTGCCTAAGTTAACCAAACTAGTTACCTCTATGAAGACCTCTGCATGCCCCCGCCACATCTTACCCTCATCATTGTTTAAAAGTGCTTTTCAGTCCATCGGTCCCAGCGTGCTCTCTATAATTAATGCTTCTCTGGTCAGGTCCCTGCTTACTTTAAGAACGCTGTAATCCACCCGCTTCATAAAAAAATGAGTCTTGACCCCTCTCCCCATAGCAGCTTCAGACCCATCTCTAAACTTCCGTTCATCTCCAAGATCTTGGAAAAGGCTGTGGCTAAACAACTCACAGCTGCTCTTGATCAACATAACATCTATGATAGCTTCCAGTCAGGTTTTCGTACAGCACATTCCCCTGAAACAGCTCTTCTTAGGGTCTCTAATGACCTTCTGACTCACAGTGATGCAGGGGACTGTTCTGTTCTGGTCCTGCTAGACCTGACTGCAGCCTTTGACACTGTTGACCATCACCTGCTCCTGGAGAGGCTGAGAGACTGGGTAGGCCTATCAGGAACTGCTCTGGAGTGGTTCTCCTCTTATCTTTCTGAGTACTCCTTTTCTGCGGCCGTCTCCAAGTTTAGGTCCTTCACCACCTCCCTTACCCATGGTGTCCCACAAGGTTCTGTAATGGGAACTCTGCTCTTCTTCCTCTATCTTCTTCCTCTTCAGCACATCCTGAGCTCCTTCAAAGGAATCTCCTACCATCTTTATTCATATGTTATCTGTTGTGATTTGAAGTTTGTATATTTATATACTGCAATTAAATAATTTAATTACCCGATCTTGTATATTTATACAATCTACATAATCAATCAGAAGTGGTCGTTTTTATCATCAGGGAGTTTACTTCAACACTTTGTATTGACTGAGAGACAAGAAAGAGAGAAAGTTGGGATCCTTTAAGAATCTTTAATTTCTATAATTATAAATTCTTACAATCTACCAGGACTATCTCAATGATGGATGCATATGGATGTAGATGGTTCGGTTTGGTGTGTGTGTTTTGTTCAGAATCTCTAGGCTGAGTAGCGAATCTGGTTGTTTTGACTAGGCTACCACGAGGCTTCAGAAGCTGATGACATGAGCCGCCATTTTGCCGTACCTTAGATGGAGTCTCCCGTGTAGATCAGGAATTGCCAGGTCTCGGACCTTCTGCGATACTGGAGCTGGTTGAGACAGCGGTCACAGCAAACAACGCCCGTCTGAAGGGTCGACTCAGGTGAAGCGGCAGGCGTCAACAAGTTCACTCTTATTTTGAAGGACCGTCGTCTCGTTGGTAAAAACGACGGAAAATCTCCAGCTTGACAGATTTCAGCTCAAAGTAGGAAGTCCAGCTGGCCAGTCTGAACTTCTTAATGATGACGATGGAAATCCTTAGGAACTAGGATGTCCTGGAGCTGAGTTTAATACGTAACTGCTGAAAGTCGGACGTAACGTGGAACTGACTTAAAATGGCGTTGCCTTCTTTTTATATCTCCCAGTTGTTTGAGAATCTTACTAAACCGGATTGGACTACTTTCATAAACAAACCAGATTCTGCCCTACCACAGGCGAAAGTTCCGATTGGTTGAAAACAATGTGTCATGCGTTTCCAAGGTAATGCATAACAGTGTGTCTGGGCAGCCCTGTTTATTCATTTAAACACATAACTCATGACATCTTTATTTCACAGATCATTCACCTGATTATTAATGATCAACAAATGCTTTGATCAGCTTATCACAAATGAAGTACTTTGATTAACCCATGAAAAGCGTTCTTCTTCTGTTCTTCTGTCTCTTCTCCTGGAATGTAAACATACTGAACCAAGCGTCCGACCTTGGCGGTGTTACTGTGTGAAGGGGCAGCTGTTAAGGGCAGACCATCATACTTCCTAACGCTACACATCCAACTGTACATCTTTAAGCCCCATGAGATGTCTAAGTTGCAGCTGTTACACCTGTTACATCAGAGACCTTCATCAGCAATTCCTGATGAAGGTCTCTGACCAAAAGCTTGACCAATTAACTCCTACATCACAGATTGAAGTGTGCAGATTCTTATTTTGTTTATTCCACTTTTTGATCCAGCACCTTTCCCAGATGAGCGGTGACTCCTTCTACTCATTATGTGATCATTAAAATCATACTGCATTCATGTTTAGAGCAACTCTCAAATACCAAATATAATCACAAGTTTCCTTTTATTTTGTCTTTTGTTGCATGTTAAAATATACATTGTAGAAATACTTTGTCTCTTTTTGTTGAATCACCTGTTGCTTGAACTGATATTGAGAACTATCTCACTGAAGTCAAACAAGGCGTGTCTAATGAGACACAGCTGGATTTGTGAAAGTCAACACTGGCTTTCTATTCAAAACCTTCCCCTGTAGAAAATGATTTTGCTTCTCAAGCATTTGTGGAATGCATTTTTTCTGTGTGTGGAGTGCTGTCATCTGGACAGAGAAAAAGAGCAACCACATCTCTGGAACAACGGGTTTTCCTAAAAATCAACAAAATGATCTTAAAAACCAAATTATTTATTAAGAGAAATCTAAATTACAAAAACATATCAAACAAGCTTCCAACAACTGTGATTGACAATCAGAATATGTGCAAAAAGTATCCAAAACATTGTACCCATGATGGCTTGACTGTTATGTTGCAGTATTGACAGTCCGTTTCAGTGGCAGGTCAGGTTGGCTCTATTCACACATGTATCAGCACAGCATGAAACACACGAACAGTTGAGATCTTTTGAACTGGATTTCTGTTCAAACGTTTAGAACAATCCATGTCATGCTATTTGGATGACCTCAGTTTGTAGGAAAATATGAACGAGTTAACAGCTAGTCTGAGATTCACACAAGCTGTTAACGTGTCCATCTCATAGTGCAGGAGTGTCCTGCACTATTGTGGTTTTTGTGAATGTATTGTCAGTCAGTTCCATTGTCTTGTCAGAACTGTAGAACCAGCATTTAACTTTTTGTCTCCTAATATTCATATTTAATCTAATTTACTTCAGAGATTGCAAGTTCTGTTGACCTACATACACTTGCTGTTTTGAAAATGCATTCTGCAGCTGGTTTGTATCCTGTTCAGTTCATTTTTTGTTATTCTGCCTGGAATGTATGGTAGCTCACCTGTTCAAAAAGAATATGGTTTTGAAAAGTTTGGTTACACACAGCAATTTCTATTATCAGTATCAGACTACCGGTCTTGTCACTGATATGTAACTTAATATTACAAAAACCTATAAAAAATTGATTAAAACTAATAAAAACTAAACCGAAACTAAAAAGTTGATGAAACTAAAACTAAACAGAACAAAAATAAACTTGAAAATAAAGACTAATGAAAAATGCTAAACAATTAAAATATTGGCCAACCACAGTTTATGTATATTAAAATGTAAAATTTCCAGCTAAGTTAGAATAAACGATTACAAACATCAATGGAAAAAGATTAATTTGTTAATAGACTACATAGAATTTGATTTAAAAATTAAAAAAATCTCAGTGTGCCTTTAAAAGAGCTTTGAAATTAGTGTATGTGTTCAATGAGTGGGTGACATTTTTTTCAGTGCGGTGGTCTCTAGTAGGATTGAATACCTCGTAAATGGTTCTCAGGGGGAACAAATATACTGTTGCACCATTTCTCAGACCTAAAATTTTCTCACATCAGTGCTGAGCTTTAAACGGCGGGTTTTTGAGTCCTATTTCCTGAAATGTGGACATCTCGCCCCGGATTGGATAACAGCAATGCAACTCTACCACTGACTTGCAACATGGATATTTTATCTCTCAAAAAACACGAGCCTGGAGGACCTTCTGCTGTGAAGTGTAGTTGCTAATGCTGACAGTTAGCTTAAACTAGCCGAGACGTCCACTGCTGATTACCGGATGTTAAAACAACAACAGTCTTCCCTGTCGTGAATCAAAATCGTCGAGTCCATGAATGATAATTCACAGTGTGGCAAAGATCTGTGAGGCTTTTCAAATACATGAGTTTAATCTATTTTCTATCAGAAGCTAATGCAGGAGAAAGGTGTAGGAGACTTTTTTCATGTTCAGCCTGCATGAAAAACTCAGTGATCAATTATATTTACAAAAAGAAATTAAAGAAACTATCTGGCTAAATCTCATACAGACAAAACTTGGAAAATACCTTTCACTTGTGTTGAGTTCTCATGTGTTTAGTCAAGATATTACTGGTAGTAAAACATTTACCACAAGTTTTACATGGATATGGCTTCTCACCTGTGTGAGTTCTCATGTGTTTAGTCAAGCTACTACTGGCAGTAAAACATTTACCACAAGTGTTACATGGATATGGCTTCTCACCTGTGTGAGTTCTCATGTGTTTAGTCAAGTCACTACTGGCAGTAAAACATTTACCACAAGTGTTACATGGATATGGCTTCTCACCTGTGTGAGTTCTCATGTGAGAAAACAAGTCACTACTGGCAGTGAAACCTTTACTACAAGTGTTACATGGATATGGCTTCTCACCTGTGTGAGTTCTCATGTGTTTAGTCAAGCTACTACTGGCAGTAAAACATTTACCACAAGTGTTACATGGATATGGCTTCTCACCTGTGTGAGTTCTCATGTGTTTAGTCAAGTTACTACTGGCAGTAAAACATTTACCACAAGTTTTACATGGATATGGCTTCTCACCTGTGTGAGTTCTCATGTGTGTAGTCAAGTCACTACTGGCAGTAAAACATTTACCACAAGTGTTACATGGATATGGCTTCTCACCTGTGTGAGTTCTCATGTGATAAATCAAGCCACGCCTGTCACTAAAAAATTTATCACAAGTTTTACATGGATATGGTTTCTCACCTGTGTGAGTTCTCATGTGTTTGGTCAAGATATTGATGTCGGGAAAACATTTACCACAAGTGTTACATGGATGTGGCTTCTCACCTGTGTGAGTTCTCATGTGTGTAGTCAAGTTACTACTGGCAGTAAAACATCTACCACAAGTGTTACATAGATATGGCTTCTCACCTGTGTGAGTTCTCATGTGTTTAGTCAAGGTATTACTGGCAGTAAAACATTTACCACAAGTTTTACATGGATATGGCTTCTCACCTGTGTGAGTTCTCATGTGTTTAGTCAAGTGACCACTGATAGTAAAACATTTACCACAAGTGTTACATGGATATGGCTTCTCACCTGTGTGAGTTCTCATGTGTGTAGTCAAGTTACTACTGGCAGTAAAACATTTACCACAAGTGTTACATAGAAATGGCTTCTCACCTGTGTGAGTTCTCATGTGTTTAGTCAAGTCACTACTGAATATAAAACATTTACCACAAGTGTTACATGGATATGGCTTCTCACCAGTGTGAATTCTCATGTGACGACATAAACAAGACTTGTGACTGAAAGATTTTCCACAGAGCTTACAATAAAATGGCCTCTCACCTATGTGAGCCCTCTTGTGCTTTTTTAGTGTCTGAACATCTACATTGTTTCTGTGATCTTCGCTTCGCAAACGTCTTTTATTACGTGTCAGTTCTTCATTGCTGTTTGATTCGGAGTTTTCTTTCCTGCATCCACCCTGATCTTGGTTCTCTGCTTCTGTAGAATTCTGACTCAAGGGTTGGTTCCTGTTGGGTTCTGGATCATGGCAGTCTGATTCGTTACAAGAAGTCTCTACAAAGGTTACATGTTTTTGCTTCAAAAAGAACTGCCCTTCATGCTGATGGATATAGAATTCTGGCTGGTTATCTGTGATCAGTGGATGTTCTGGTTCCTCCTGGTCCAAACTGGAGGTTGACTCTTGGTCAAAGAGCTTCTGGTCAGTCAGAACCTCTTCTTTTTTCCAGATATGATGCTGTGGAAGTTCTGGACAGGTAAAAAGAAAAAGAAAAATGTTGAGTAATGTGGCAATTAAAAATGTTCCAATGAAGGCAGGAAGTTCAGGGCTCTAGAATAGGATGATTCTGGTCACAAATGTGACTCAATTTCTCAATGGTGCACCTACATATCTACACTCAGGTTTCACCAGACGAATAGTTAGAGAGATGCTGGTCTGTCAGAACCTTCTACTGTGGAAGCTCTGGACAGGTTAAAATAAAACTGGAAAACGTTGAGTGACGTAACAATTACAAAAAGAATATATATATATATATATATATATATATATATATATATATATATATATATATATATATATATATATACCTCCTCCTTGAACCGTCACCTTATCGTGGTGGAGGAGATTGAGTGCCCAAATGATCCTAGGAGCTATGTTGTCTGGGGCACTTTGTGCCCCTGGTAGGGTCTCCCATGAAAAATTGGTCTCAGGTGAAGGGTGAGACAAAGAAAGGTTCAGAGGAATTTTCATGGATGTAAATTCAAGGAGTCGGAGAACCCGGCCCGGAGGGTTAACGGGGTCCCACCCAGGAGCCAGGCCTGGGGTTGGGGTCCGTGAGCAAACGCCTGATGGCCGGGCTTTCGCCCATGGGGCCCGGCCGGGCCCAGTCCGAACCGGATACATGGGCTCATCCAACTGTGGACCCACCACCCGCAGGAGGAACATGAAGGGTCCGGTGCAGTGTGGATCGGGTGGCAGACCGAGGCGGGAGTCTTGGCGGTCCGATCCCCGGACAAGGAAACTGGTTTTTGGGACATGGAACATCACCTCGCTTTTTGTTAGCCCCAAGACTCTCTGCCTGTGTGTTGGGGTTTACCCCGGGGGACGAGAGGGTAGCTTCCCAGCGCCTTCGGGTCGGGGAACGGGTCCTGACTGTTGTTTGTGCTTATGGGCCAAATATCAGTTCAGAGTACCCACCCTTTTTGGAGTCCCTGGGATGAGTGCTAGATAGTGCTCCATCAGGGGACTCCATTGTTCTGCTGGGGGACTTCAATGCTCACGTGGGCAATGGCAGCTTGACCTGGAGGGGTGTGATTGGGAGGAACGGCCCACCTGATCTGAACTCGAGTGGTGCTTCATTATTGGACTTCTGTGCAAGCCGCAGTTTGGCCATAACGAACACTATGTTCAAACATAAATTTGCCCATCGGTACACTTGGTACCAGGGCAGCCTAGGTCGCAGGTTGATGATAGACTTTGTAGTCGTATCATCTGACCTGCGGCCATATGTTTTGGACACCCGAGTGAAGAGAGGAGGAGAGGAACGGAGCTGTCAACTGATCACCACCCGGTGGTGAGTTGGATCAGATGCCAGGAGAAGATGCCGCATAGACCTGGCAGATCCAAATGCATAGAGGGTCTGCTGGGAACGCCTGGCAGAAAAACCTGTTTTCTGACGGTCTTCAACTCCCACCTCCGGCAGAGCTTTGACCGCATCCCGAGAGCAGTGGGGGACATTGACTCCGAGTGGGCCTTGTTCTGCTCTGCGATTGTTGAGGCGGCTGTTGCTAGCTGTGGTCACAAGGTGGCCGGTGCCAGTCGTGGTGGCAACCCCCGTACCCGCTGGTGGACACCAGAGGTTCAGGGAGCCGTCAGGCTGAAGGAGGCCTACAGGGCGTTGCTGGCCTGTGGGTCTCCAGAGGCAGCAGACAGGTACTGGATAGTCAAGCGGGGTGCAGTAGGTGCAGTTGCTGAGGCGAAATCTCGGGTGAGGGTGGGGTTTGGTGAGGCCATGGAGAAAGACTATCGATCGGCTCCAAAGGTGTTCTGGCAAACTGTCCGGCGCCTCAGGAGAGGAAGGCAGCAACTCGCTCACACTGTTTACAGTGGGGATGGGGAGCAGCTGACGTCAACTGGGGCTATAGTCGGAGGGTGGAAGGAATACTTTAAGGAGTTCCTCAATCCCACCTACGAGCATTCCGAGGAGGAACCAGAGCCGGGAGACCTGGGGATGGACTGTCCAATCTCGGGGGCAGAAGTTGCTGAGGTAGTTAAACAACTACACAGCAGCAGAGCCCCGGAGGCGGATGAGATTCGTCCTGGGTATCTCAAGGCTAAGGATGTTGTAGGGCTGTCGTGGTTGACACGTCTCTGCAACATTGCGTGGTCATCGGGGGCAGTTCTTGTGGAGTGGCAGACCGGGGTGGTGGTCCCCATCTTTAAGAAGGGTGACCTGAGGGTGTGTTCCAACTATAGGGGGATCACACTCCTCAGCCTCCCTGGAAAGGTCTACTCCAAGGTACTGGAGAGGACGGTCAGATCGATAGTTGAATCTCAGATTGAGGAAGAGCAATGTGGTTTTCGTCCTGGCCGTGAAACTGTGGACCAGCTCTATACCCTTGCAAGGGTGATAGAGGGGGCATGGGAGTTTGCCCAACCAATCCACATGTGTTTTGTGGATTTGGAGAAGGCTTATGACTGTGTTCCCAGGGGCACCCTGTGGGGGATGCTCCAGGAGTATGGGGTGGGTGGCTTTCTGTTAAGGGCAATTTAGTCCCTTTACCAGAGGAGCGTGAGTTTGGTCCGCATAGTCGGTAGTAAGTCGAACCTGTTTCCGGTGAGGGTTGGACTCCGCCAGGGCTACCCTTTGTCACCGGTTCTGTTCATTACCTTTATGGACAGAATTTCTATGTGAAGCCGTGGTGTGGAGTGTGACGAGTTTGGTGGCAGGAGAATCTCGTCTCTGCTTTTTGTGGATGATGTGGTCCTCCTAGCTTCATCCAGCTCTGACCTTCAGCTCTTGCTGGGTAGGTTCGCGGCCGAGTGTGAAGGGGCTGGGATGAGGATCAGCACCTCCAAATCTGAGACTGTGGTTCTCGACCCGAAAAGGGTGGCTTGCCAACTCCGGGTCGGGGGAGAGGTCCTACCTCAAGTGGAGGAGTTTAAGTATCTCGGGGTCTTGTTCACAAGTGAGGGTAGGAGGGATCGGGAGATCGACAGGCGGATTGGTTCAGTGTTCCATTACAATAATGGCGAGCCTTTGCCAGATATTTATAAATTTTAAAACACTTTGTGAGTTTGAGACATATTTAAACTCTTTAAACCTTTAAAACAAAAAAAGAAAGTTGATGTTCTGGTCTGAAATGAGGCGATCTCGTAATCAGCCACTTGAGAGCAGCATCTCCATTTAAAGTAAAGGGGGGTTGGCGTCAGTCATCCTCCAGAGGAGGCGCTGTTTCATCTCAAACCACCCTAAGGCTGACGTGGCATATAGAAGCCATTTTGAGCTTAGCACTGAAGGATCTTTCCCTGTCTTTTAAGGTGAATACTGCTTATTTTCATGTCCTTTCTCTAGTGTTCGTGGCACTGTGTACAATTTATTGTGTAACAGGAGATATAGAAATATCCCCGCTGGAAGTCCGCTTCCCTCGGTGGCCGCCTGATCCCCGGCTTACCAACCTGTTTTAGCTTACTACCATCAAACCGCTAATAACTAAGCTTTTAACACGGAAGAGCGTCTCTGCAAACACGAACTGCAAACGCTATAGTCCGAATAATAACGACAACGCTCACGAACGTTTTAGTTGCTCGGACTGATCCGATCCAGCTGGATTGGATTGTTTATAACCTGGTTGCTCCAGGCCCCCGCGCTAGCTTAGCATAACAGTGCTAACTAGTGGTACCCGGTAAAGACAGTGGTATACGCGTGCCGACAACCTGTCAAGCCATTTTGACGCAGCATTTCTGCGTCCCAAAATACGCTACGCCTAAATGCCGAACTCGTTCGTGCAATTTTAGCGGTGGTTTTATTCACTTTTTGTGTTTAAAGCTTCCCGGTGACGTCATCGAACGCCACCATTTTGGAAGAGTCCGGGCGAACACACGGTGACGTCAGCACCCCGCCCGCACCCACCAACGGTGCTCTGCCGCCATCTGGCGGATTTTTCTGTTCATTACATTCATTTTGGTGAAAAAGTCATTTTTATTTGGAAAAAATGTCTGAAGAAGAGATATTAACCCTTCACTCACTGGGAAGACAAGTGATTGATGCAGTGGAGTCTGTGGTAGGACAGGCAATCTTGTCTGATCACAGCTACGCTGAAGGTTTGCAGGAACACCAAGCTGATGAACTGATGAAATTATTGCAAACTAAGATTGAAAATCTGCCCAGCTCAAGTAAACCTCTTAAATCATCTGCCCGCACAGAGTCCCTGGTGGAGTTCGCAGTATTGTTAGCTCACCTCTGGGACAGAGAAGTAAATGCTCATATGGAGGCACAAGGTAAAATGCGTGCTCTTCTTGAACAGCCAAAAGGTGAAACAAGTGGTGCTAACACCGAGAAGCTGAGCGATGCTCGAAAACAACTAACCGAAGCCCAAGACCAGCTATCAGCAGCTCTGACAGAGACTGAAAATGTGTTAGATGACAAGACTCAGCTGGAAGAGAAAATTACCATCTTGGAAAAGGAGAGATACGATTCAAAATATGATGTCAACATGCTTAAAGCTCAGGTAGCACGAGAGACTGACCTGGAGTATTTACAATCAGTTTTCTGCACTCATAAGAGCAAAACAGAAATCACTCCAGCAACCTCCTCCTTTTCGACCTCCATCACCCCTTCCTCCTCCAGCTGTTGCAGTGGCTGCTCTACCTCCGGCTGTGAGTGCGGCTGGTTGAGGTGCATCTGCTGCAGCAGGAAGAGGACATTTCTCACTACCTCCTCCGCTGGCTGATGCTATGTGTGCTGTTCCACTGGCTGGTGGAAGTGCACCTGCAGACGCAGGAAGGGGACATTTACCTCCGGCTTTTCAGCCAAACCAGTTTGTGCCACCTCCAGCCCCTCATCCGGGCTACCCGGCTCCTCAGCCGGCCCATCCGTTCCCACCTCCAGCCCCTCATCCTGGATAGCCGCCTCCAGCCATCCGTGTACCCGCCTCCAGTCCATCCGTTCCCGCCTCCAGCCCAACCGATCGCACCTGTGCCCATAGATGACATCTACAGGATGTCTCGGAGCATCAAGAAATTCAGC